AGAAGGCTTCCCATCCTTCCCTACTCTCCACGATTGCCCCGACAACCTTGTCGAGCGACAGATCGTCCCCGACCACGTTGGTCAGGATCCTACGCTCCTCTTCCCACGCCGGGCATTCCTGGAGGGTATGCTGCGCGGTGTCCCGTTCCCCTCCGCAGTGATGACATTGCGGTGTGCGATCCCGGCCTATTCGACACAGATACTCCCCGAAGCACCCGTGCCCGGAGAGTATCTGCGTCGTACGGTACGATGCTCGTGTCCACGGGCGATCGAGCCATTCTTCTAGCCTTGGGAGGATGGCGTCCACGGTCCTTCGTCCGGATGTATTCGGATCACACAACCGGGTCATCCACTCCTCCCTTGTGTCCTCTTGCATTTGGGACCTTATGGCCCTCCTAACAGCCGGGGTGACTGGTACCCCTTCCTCTCTCAGTTCTCTTACCCGGTCGTACACCGCCGCGTGGACCCTGGCCACGATGTCGACCGGGGGGAGTCCCGCCAGCAGCGTCGCGGCAGGGTGGGAGACCGTGCGATAGGCTCTCACCACCCTTACTGCCGCCCTCCTCTGCGCCTTCTTAAGGGCCAAAGCTCCGCGGTTGCGCTCCAGGGCCGTTGCCCACACCGGCGCCCCGTAAAGCGCCATGGACGCCAACACGTTCGCGAAGAGTTTTCTAACTCTTCCGCACGGCCCCCCAAATTCGGCATGAGTCGCGATAGGGCATTGGCTGCCCCCTCCAGCCTCGGCGCGAGCTTCTTAAAGTGCTCGGAGAAGTTCCACGCCCCATCGATACGGAGACCCAGATAATTCACGTAGGTCCCCACCGGGACACCTATTCCTCCGATTCTTATACGCGCATCCACGGGTGGTGCCGTATGACCTCCGTGAAGGAGCACCGCCTCCGTCTTCTCGGCAGCGACTCTCAGGCCGAGGGCCCCAATTGCCCTCGTAGTGCACGCCACCGCCAAGTTGGCCCTCATCTCAGCCTCCCTCCAATCCTCCCCGACGGCCAGCACTATCGTGTCGTCAGCGTAGCAAACTAACGTACTGCCGCCGGGGAGGGGTGCGTTGAGCACCGCGTTGTAGGCAACGTCCCACAGGAGTGGCCCCAGGACCAACCCCTGCGGGACGCCGCATCCCGGTCTCCAATCTCTATGCCTGCCCTCTTTGTCCCTGCAGGAAATCCAACGGCTCCCGAGGTAATCCCTGACAATTCCTCCAAGGTGCCCCGGGACCTCGAAGTCCCTTAGTGCCTGAACGATCGCCCCGTGGGGGAGGGAGTTGAAGGCATTCGCGATGTCTATCGCAACCGCCATAACAACTCCCCCCCCCCTCCTCCACAGCCCGGTCCGAGAGGGCTTTGACGCATTTTATTGCATCAATGGTTGATCTGCCCTCCCGGAACCCGAACTGTCTGGGCGACAGACCCTCCGCTCGGCCCTCCAGGTGTCCACTGAGCCGGGCAACTAGGATCCTCTCCAGGATCTTACCCACCTCGTTTAGGAGGCATATGGGCCTATATGCCCCCGGTGTATTCGCCGGCTTCCCTGGCTTGGGAATCAACACCAGGTTTGACTTCTTCCAGTCCCCTGGAAACCTCCTTGCTCGCAGGCAGGCATTGTACAACGCCCTCACCCTTTCGGACATCTCGCCCATGGCGATCTTCCATATCTGGCCCTGGATTCCATCAGGCCCCGGCGCTTTGTTGGGCTTGATCCTTTTTACCGCCCGCGCGAGCTCCGCCTCGGTGATCTCGATGTCCTCGGACCACTCTGGCTCCTCTTCTTCTTCTCTCGGGTCGCCGCGTCCGTTGTCCCCTCCTCCTCCCGGCGGGAACAGCGTACGGACCACAGTGTCCAGGAGCCCAACCTCCAAGGACTCGACCGCCGGGGGCGCACCGCTGGCCAGCTTATTCATCACTAACCGATACGGTCGCCCCCATGGGTCCTCGTTGAGCGTGTCCAGTAGCTCCTTCCACGCTCCGTCCTTAGCCTTGCGGATGGCCTTCTTCAGTTCCGCGCGGCTCTCCCTATACCTCGTCAGCAGCCCCTCCACTTCTGCGTGCGTGGTCGCGGCCCTCCTCCTCGCTCTCTGAAGTGCTCTTCTACTCTCCATTGAGCTGCGCCTTAGTCGGTCCACCTCGTCCGACCACCAATAGGCCGCTCTTTTGGCCGAGAACTTGGCTCTGGGCATAGCCCAGTCGCATGCACGCGCCACTGTCCTCCTTAGCCATTCCGCCTCTTCCTCGATGTCCGGGTGGGGATCCGCGGGTGCCCACATGGCTGCCACCAACGCCGCCCTCAGCTTGTCGGCATCCAATTTGCCGACCGACCACCTAACATTCGGTCGGACGGGGGTCCCTCCTCGTCGCGCCTCTCGACGGCGCAGGATTACCTCGATGGGGATGTGGTCCGACAGCAACTCCGTCTCTTCCAGCACCCTCCATGAGGCCGCCCAGTCTTCTGCAGCAGGCGACACCCAGGTGAGGTCGATAACCGACTCTCCCTGTGGTCGGACGCACGTTCTCGCGCTACCGCGGTTCAATAGTCTAAGCCCGAGTCTAGCCGCCCAGGCTTCGACCTCCATCCCCTTCACATCCGGCCGCCGGGAACCCCACGCCAATGACTTGGCGTTAAAGTCCCCGGCGACCAGAACCGGTCCGGGGAGGACTCCTCCTAACTCCAGCTCAAGCTCGTCCAGCTTATCCTCGAGCTCGGCTCTGGTAAGGCTCGGCCTCAAGTAGACCGCCATGATGTTTATCGGTCCGCACTCGACGAGGACCCAGCCTTCTCCCCCTCGCAGCTTGGAGCAAGGCACGCGTCTCTCGCTCGTCCTTCTCCATACTACTGCCGCGGAGCCGTCGGTGCTCCCTGCCCAGCAAGGGTGATCGGGAACGCGGGTACGGCTCCGATAGTACGCCAACTCCACAACCACGCTCCGCGAGGGTATGCATGAACAGGTCCTGCGCCCCGCGGGCGTGGTTGAGGTTGGCCTGGAGTAGCCTTAATTCCGTGAAGGCCTTGGCGTCACGGCCTCCCCCGGGCCGTTTGCACCTCCGTCCACGGGTAGCTCAATCCCTGCCTGTGTACCGCTTGCCGAGCCATCGCCTCGAAGCTCCGCCGGCGTGTCGGAGTGGTCCCACTCCAGGGACCCTTCCCTTTCCACGTCGACCTCCATCGACGGATCGGTGAGGTTTCCCTCCTTGCGGTCCGCCTCCTGCGTTCGGAGTTCCGACCTCTGCGTTTGCGACTGTGTTTGCGTCGCAGATCGCTGCCTCTCCTCCTGCCTTGTCCTCTTGGCCGCCTTCTTGGATATAGGCGGGCATGCCGCTCCACCTGCCTTGTGCGCATGGGGCAGACCTCTATCTCTGCATACCACGCACATCGGTTTGGAGGAGCACACGGCCGATCTGTGCCCCTCCTCCCCACATCTGTAGCAGGTATTTGACCTGTCCTTGTTGCTCTTGCACTGCGCCCTGACATGGCCGCGTTCAAGGCACTTGAAGCAAACAAGTGGCCTTGCCTCGAGCAGGTCTACCCGCGCGGATATCCAGCCTATCCTCAGGCGCCTAGTTTCCGCCGCTCTCTTCGCAGCGTCGAGCGGGCATTGGACCCAGACCGACCCTAGTCCGTTGGTAGCCCTCCTTATTGGGCCTACCTTTACGTCCTGGCCTGAGCATACCCCCACTCTCTCGATTACCCCTCTGACTTCTTCCTGGGAAATCGAGTCGTCCAGGTCACGGACCCGGAGCTCCGCCATCTTGACGGGGCGCGTCACCCTCACGCCTTCCGCGTCCCCGACCACTTCCCTGATGCATTGCACCAGGGCATCCGCCTTGGGCTGCGCATTTTCCCCGGGTATCTCCAGGATGAGCGCGCCCGTTAACCCCCTCCTGGGCCTTAGCTCCTCGATCCCAATGTCTTTTTTTTTTTTTACCCGGTGGAAACCCTCATGGGCCGTCACCCCGCCTCTCTGGGAAGAGGCGGGGTGGTGTGTGGGACTCACCCCCCTGTAACCCCAGGACAGTTGTCTACCTGAGGCCAGCGTGCAATGGGGGTGCCTAACCTCACTAAAACCACCGGGGGTGGACTTCTCTGCGCCATCGCGAGCAGGTCGGGAACTGCTACGCATTGCTCTCCTAGGACCCGCTCGGCGCCGCGCACCTAATCATGGCGCGCCCTTCTCGGCTCTTTTGAGCCGCGCCCTTTATTACACAGGCGTTCATCTAACGCGTACACGCGTCACGACGGGGGTGCCACCGGGCCCCCGCCGTACCCCCTAGGTGTTATGGGGGCGGGCGAGCTAGGGGTCCTCAGCCCCTGACCCACCCCCTGGGGTTTCCCTGCTTCCCAGGTTGTTTCTCCTTTTAGTCGCCTCTTACGACAGGCAGGAGATACCCCGGGCCTATTCGTAGGCGGGACCCGGACGCCATGCAGGGAAGCCTTCTCTCTTTCTAGCCCTGCGGCTAGTGCGTCCGCCTGGAGAGAGGGGGAAAGGTAGCAGGTGCACTGACACACCCCCCCTTTTCTTTGGGGAGAGG